AAAACTTAGAGTGGTCAACGAGTTATAATCGACCTTTGGATCCTCTCATAAATCATCCTGTCCACATATCGGTCCACAGCCTTTCTTGTCTATGGACCTACCAATCCCGACCTTAAAGATGAACCCGAATTAAATGACACGAGACTTGCACAAAACAATTACTTCTTTTGTATGTAAGCTCGTGGTCATGATTCTTCCGTTCCAACACAACCCGAATACGTGCAAAACGAAGCAAGAATTGAAGGAGAGAAAGAGCAGCGTCCTAATATATTTTTTCACTATTTTTATATAATTTTTTTATTATTTTGGATTAGATGCCGAGATGATATACATTCCGATACGATATTGATTAGATATCGATTCAATTAGAAAACTTAAATTTTTAGATTATAGATCTAAGCTAATATATATAAATTGACTCTTTTAATTTTATAAGGCATATTTCATATTTTGGCCATTTCATGATTCACGTCACGATCCATATCTGGCATTAGCACGAACATAAATTCTCAAGATATGGATTAGACGCCACATTGGATACACCCCTACAGATTCAACATAAGGGCTACCTTCCTCAAGCTGAAGCTCGTATGGGGAGGCGTCCCCTTGGCAAGCCCCGTTTCAAAAAACTCGGGACGACGCTGCATGACGTTGTTCCGTGCATACCGGAAGGCAGCTACACGAAGGTACGTACTTATCACTCGGGGGCTTGATCGTCATGCCATATTCGCGTATGATCGACTTTCGGGCACCAGTATAAAAGCTCATGATCGGCATCTGGCTAGAAGAGAAAAAAAGAGAGAGACAAGAGATAAACCACTGACTTAATTTATGAGGGGCCTAAGTTGGTAATCCCCTGACCCGGGTCTGTGCACAGGGACACGACCACTCCCAAGGCAACTCAATCTCATGCTGAAGATGTGACCACCCTGACTTTTGGTCTAGCCCGACCTTGGAACCGTCTTCGATCGACCAAGAGATATGCTCCAGAGCGTTGACGACACCGGACATCGACCCGTAGTCCTCAGTCATGGCACATGAATTCGCTAAAACATACCAATTATCCTTTTAGGTA